GCACCTAAATTGGTTTTAGGCTGTAACTTTTGAGTTTATGAATGATATGCTATGGCAACAACCACCAGTCTGTGACAGCTGGGATATGTTTATTGCCCATCAAAGTTTAATTGCGTGTCTGAAATGAACGTAGCTATGCCAACATACTGTATACTGAAGTAGAACAAGAAATACGCTGCAATATAATACCACTATAGGCCCATTTTACATGTCAAAGTAAATTTCTATATCTGGTACAAAATTCCGTTCAGCTCCAGTTAAGATTATGGCTTAAGTCACTGTGGGGTGATAAAGGCCAACCAACCCAGTGTGTGCAGACTTGAATGTGATGCCAATGGAAAGATCTGGTTCCATAATAATGTGTCTTTTTGGATATTAAATATATTCTGGAAGTACTTTTATTCCTGTGGTTAGAAACCCGGATAGTTCTCTCAGTGGGTAGGTTTCCTGGAGGCTCAAGTTGGCTTGGTTGACCTAGAAAGCATGTATAGTAGGCCAGTAGTAGGCTTCCAGTCAGGTACTCCTGAAAAATTCTCAGTTTAAAGGGTCCATATTATCCTATGTTTAATCTACTGTATGTTATATTGTTGTTTCCTCATCACAAGCAAACAGCCATGCAAATTTAGAGCTGTTCTCTCAAACAGGAAAGACCCTTTTCCACCTTGTGATGTCATGTGGTAATACAGGAAGTGCTCCACTGTGTAATAATAAAGGGTTACTCAAACATGTGTGAATGAAACAAAACACTACTACAAAACACTATTTTTGAGGAGGTAACATTATAAAATGGCTTAAAACTGACAAGAGTCACTTTTGCGTCATCTGGGACATTTACAATAAGAATAATTTGATGTAGCCAGATTTAAAACGATCTTATCTATACAACTAAAACTAATACCAAACCTAGATAGTAATTAGAAAAGTATCAATACAAGGACAAAATGTGACCTATCCTGAAAAGTTTTAGAATTGTCTTCATTTATATCAGAACCATAGAGAGAACATGATGATAATACTAAAGAAAGTGCTATTGTTCTGTGTTGAAAAAACATTCTATTGTCTGAAAAAGGAGTGTTTATTATCACTGTGGTATCGAAATTAGTTTTGAGTTTTCACAACTATAATATACTAGCCTGATTCATCAGCCGTTTTTTCTTCATAGAAACCGTGATCTGACCTCACAGCGTTAGAATTCGTTCACTCGACGGTATGCCGGTACTTTTTTTCATTTAACCAATCGCTGCTATTTGGTCATGTCGTGATGTAATGCGCTGCTAACAGGACTAACTAGTATATTAAGCTTTTCCCAAATCCTGTAGGAAGAAGGGCAATTTCCCCTTGATAAAATTCAGGGAACATTCTCTTTGTTCCGGCTTTAAATCCTCGATCTCGGAAATTGTTGCCAACACAGAAAGTATGGCTCTTCATTGATTGGCTGGTGCCGGAACTCACGCTTCCAGGGTTTTTGCGAACCATCTAGTGTATTCCGATTCCTGACCTAGTTGCTGGGGAGAAATTAAATTGAGCAGAGGCAGTAGGTTGCGCCAGCCTGGCTAATAATATACACAGGTTTGGCTCAAATCTAGTAAATGTTTAGTTTTATTCTTTTAACAGTCTGAAATAGTACTATTTGGTGGCTAGTACTAGTCACACACTACACATCAACAAGTTTGCAAGTTTGATTTTGTGTCCCATTACCCCACCAACCTACAACAGACACCTTCATCCCCCAGCTAGCTACTCCTAAAATCTGGAGAGGCCAAACCAAGCTCTGCAATGCGGCTTCAGCCATTAGGTGAAAGACGGGTCAAACAAGCCACAGTGCATCCAAACCTACCCTTAACCTTCTTCTAAACTGTTTGCCTGTGAACCTGAGAAACGCCTTGAGTGCCATAAATTCTCCAGGAAGTCCAGAGATAGCTTCGCGTCTGGAAAACACTAGTCCAGTTGGTATTTCGCTTTCACGAAACGGCCTTGTAATCACGGAGATACCATCGGTGCGGCTGGCTGTCCCAAATTGCTGTTTCAAATTACTGCTCAGTTTTGGCAATAGTGCGAGGCTCATACTGGAGTGGGATAGCATGTCCACGGTGACATAACAGGGTCCGGTTTAAGGGCCTGCAGGGGGGACAACAAGGCCACAGTTTGTTCTAGTCCTTTCCTGTCTGGGGCACCATGTGTTTACGCTGTGGCTTTGACACCCATTCACTGCACAAGAGCTGAAATAAACAAAACCAGAAGTTCTATAGAAAAGACCATAGAAGAGAAGCGGAGATGTAATACCTTTATAATACAACTGATAAGGATTGTGAAAAATTAGAAGGTGCGCTATGTAACTTTTCTGGTAGATGGTCCTTTCTCCAATGCTTTTCTGAAAACTTTTCTTTCTTGTATTTATTCAATTACAGGAGTTAAACAGTAACCTAGAACAACATGCATTCTTACTGGGACTGGGGTCGCACTTTGGGTTGTGTTGGTGGTGTTGCTTGCTTGTTTTGGTAATTATTCTTTTCTATCCTATACTGGACTGGATTGCTTTGGTGTTTGCTAGCCTTTGAGCTTGTTATATCTAATCTTGTAAATTTAACTGCTTTGACTTCCTTTCTTTCTATGTGTTCATCTCTGGATAATGGTTTACACATGTTAGCCCAATGGGACACGTTCAACTGTACATACTTCCTGTCTCGGCCTGAAAACAGTGGTTCCCAAAATATGGATCAAGACCAAAAATGCTACTTTGTCTTTCTAAATTTCTATGTTGACTTCCAGAATCGATCCTGAGCCAAGTAGCGATTTCCGAACAGCGATGATGATGAAAATTTCAGTGTTGATTAACTTTTGGATCATTCAAGTTTCCAATGAATCTAAAATGTCATCTCAGCCTTCTTTGTTTACAACTTAACTTTTCCGGTATTTTACTGCCCTGACTGAACTTTTGGAGATGTGTAGTGGCAAAAATTTCAAAGACAGTATGTTTTGCATTAATAGTAAAATAAATTATAAAAATAAAATGGTTTCTACACACAATTGCACTCTGTTTTGTATGAGGTGGAAGTATAGATATAAATCAATATTACACTAAAGAAGAAACATCGCTCTGTAAGAATTATTCACAATTACTGACACCATAAGCAAACTACAGGGAAAAATCTCCATTCTTCTAGTATGTGACCATGATAACATAATGTTACAGTGACAAAAGTAAATAAAAAAGAACTTGCTTCTAATTCCTTCAATATTTTAGTACAATAATTACAATTGTACTGTGACCTGAGTAGTCATCATTATCTATTAACCAAATAACGTTCACATCTTTAGTTGGAATATTAGATTGATAGATTAGAACAAGTGTGGCCATGCGATGGGTTTGTTGTTCATTGGGAAGTAGGCCATAAAATCCATCCAACAGAAAAACCAATTAAAGAGCACTGCATTTCTTACAGTACACCACACCTGCCCACCTGTCCAAACCTCTTTATCACTACCTCCATTCATGCGTTGTTCCACCTGCCTCTGTGATATCCTATCAGTGAAGAAGCCCTTTGAATCAGCAGACACTCCACATCGAGCTCGCATTAAGGCGTAGATACAGTTCTGACCTCTTTACACCAACAAAGCCCTAATTGCAAGTTTTGGACTGTTTTCCTAACTTTCCAAGCCTGTAATTACAGCCAATCTTGAAAGCCACCACTCTGCAAAATGTTCAACCTGCATGGCTAGTGTTGCTTGAAAGAGAAGATGGAAGAGGGTGTAAATTCAGGTGGGTGTTTTGTTTTTTTTTTGTTTTTTTTTTAAGTGGAACTGTGTAACCCCTAACCCTAACCCTAACCCTAACTTCTGTTGGTACCTTCTTTTCTCCATGTAGATATTATTGCTTTGCCCAGAATGTTCCACAATGCGCCGTCAGTTTATTTATCTTGCATTTATTTAATTACTAACACTGAACAATAGTTTTAAGAACATGTATTGTTAATGTGACTGTGAATGGGCTTGCCTTTCCACAGATCTGGTTTGTCACTTGGCCTAGTGATGCTTTTAATGTCAGAGACTTAAGACAAAATTAACTGATCCACAAGGGAAATAATTATGACAGTGGCTCACACATCAAAATATAATATAATAAAGTGCAACAATATAAATGGTAATAACAGATAGGTAGGTAAGATAGGTCAGTTTAAAGCCATATGGTGGAACATTCTAGACTAATTAATAACATTGGCATGGAGACAAGCAGGTACAAGCACCACAAAGTTACATAGTGCACCTTTAACGTAGAAATGAACGGAAGGAAGACCTGTTCAGGTAACTGTGATGTAAAGCCACTTGTACATGTCATCAACAATGGCTGCCTAAAAAGCAAGAAAGCACAGCCCCAGGGCCAGAAATACCACACACCAGCTGCGCCAAGAAAACCGCCTGTATCCCTTTGCTCTGTTTGCCTGTCTCCACATTTTATCCATCTCCAAACAAGCAACGTTTCTTTTGGATGTCCACAAACCAGAACCAAGACATTCCCAAAGAGTGGCTGCTCCATATGTTTCACATTAAAAAGCTCCCCAGAACTCCAAAGCCCACAAAAGCTACGTATACCCCCAAATTATAGTCACAACATAACTGAAGTAAGGCATTTTAAAGTTAAGAAAGCAGGTCAGATTGGAGTAACTCAAGCTTCTTACAATGATACTCTTGTAGCATTCAGAAATACCAGATCACTGCTAGGGGCTGCTTCAATGACTATGTTCTCTGTCTGTGAACTGCTGGCACAACAGTAAAGCTGTCTTGACTTCTCACACACACACTCCTGGTTTAAAAAGGACTACGTGCCAAGGTAAACACACAGGGCAATGCCACACACTATGCCCTTTGGTTTAATGAGCAATGAAATGAGATTGGGGCTGACGCAGAAGGTTTGATTTCCGTGCGTAAAGGTAACTTTGTAATCCACGTCGTGCGTAAATATAGGAAAAAGAACGCGTGGTTTAACTCCGATAGTCGCCTACCTTATAACTGTGAGACAGTATTCCGTTTCGTAAGAGTTGAATGGAATAGATGGAAGCAAAGTCCTCAGCCGTTCATTGTAGTATGCTGGAATGCTCGCCTCCTTGTTATCTAACTTCTTCCCGTTTGGTCCAAAGATGAGAGGCGTCGCTGCTACTACAGCTTGTCCCACCACTCCTAACTTTCAAAAACAAAGTTAATTGCTTTCTTGGAAGTGTTGCTGTTGTCTGTGCGTTTACTGCTCTATCTACCCGCGCACTTCCTTCAGTCCGAGCCGCTGCTGTAGCCACCACAAGTCCTGGCATGGGATACTCCTCCTCCCACTGCGCCGCCGGGGCTGGCTGTCTCCCATGGTCCCTCCCCCTTCCATCCATTGGACTTACCTCCCCGCTGCTGCTGCCCGCCCGGCCTTTTCTCTCCCCATCGCTCGCCATTTGTTCTCACCCTTTATCCTTATCACGTAGACGGGACTTCCTGCAGTCGCCACCTTTTGGACCCCCTCAAATTGGAGTAAATCCTCGTAAATCTGCTGTAGTATTATGGTCACTTCATAGTAAAAGTAGTAAGATTCTTCTCAAATGCAATGGACATGTCGGGAAAAGCTATAGGCTACTCCTACACGAGTTGTTACTTCAAAACAAAGTTGAACAGCGCTCAACAATGATTTAAATATTGAGATAAGTTTGTAGTAAGCAAAGGACATTTTATAGCTGCTAGTTTTAATATATTCCACTGTACATTTCTCCTTACCTAAAAGTCACCAAAGTAGTTATTTCCCATATTTCTAGTAATACAAAGTTAGGGTGACGTTATTTATTCCAGTTCACTTTACTATTGCCTTAATAAAGCAAGAGTAAAAACGTCAAAAATTCATAATGAACTAATATTTTGGATTCAGACGTAGAAATTCTTTATTAAGTTATTAGTGGTTATTATAAAGTGTTACCCATACACTACTCCTATTTATATCATTTCATGGATGGTATGACCTATACAATCTTGCATTATCCTGTCAGTATGAAGCAGACAAGGAGACAGTTAAATTTATGTTAGAAATTCAAAGCTTTATTTTCCAAATCATAAAACAGCATTTTATTTAATTAACTTGATGTATATTTCCTAAACATAAGCATCTACCATACATAATCATTATATATTCTCAATTCTTGCCAAGCTGTAGTGTAATAAAAAGATAAAATAACACAAATCTCTTGGTGTGTAAAGCTTATTCAAAACAAGCCCCTTTTTAAAAATACATTCTACACCATACATTAAAATAAAAAAAACAAAAACATTCAGCAATACATTGTTAAACAGCGATGCTACAAAAGTGTCATTAAAATCTTTAACACCAAATCACCCATATAGCAAGCAATTACACAAGTTAGTATATGAAAGCTCTGTTCTTTACATCATATCAAATCTGTTACAAAAAGTGAATTCAAACTGCATAGCACAAGGATGTCTTAGATACTGTTGTATTAATAGTGCATTAAGATAAAGAACTGTTGCTAAAGTTGGAGCTGCTGGTGTAACTAAAGGTGTATGTAGAGTAATCCACACTGCCTCTGCGAGATCCACTTAGGGAGCCAGTGCGAGAACCGGCTCTGGATCCAGCCCTGGATCCAGACCTTGATCCTGGGTTAGAAACATTATACGGACTGCTTATCCCTTTGGTCGACACTGAGGAAGCTTGCAACATCTTCATGCCATTGCTTTCTTCAACCATGCAGCTATCCATGGCATGTTTGTAGGAGATCTTGAGTTTGGTTTTGGGGCATGTTAGGTTCTTCTGATGGTTCTTTGTATCTTGGAGCTTTATGGCACCTTGTCCGTCCAGCCAGCCTTTGTGAATGGCTTCTTCAATGGAAATACGCCTTCCAGTGCCAGGTTCGATCAACCCTCCAGTGCAGTATTGGTACTCCAGGAATCTTTGACCAGCTTCATATGGCAGCCATGTTTCTTTAACTGCTTCTGCTGCAGACATCCTTCTCTTGGTTTTCACATCTTCAAATCCAACGTATGCTTTCTGTGCAGCTTTGAGCTTAGTGGCCATGCTGTCGTCAATGATGCCTTGATGAACTGCGTCCTGCAAGGAAAGCCTGTCACCAGTGGCGGGGTTGATGATGCCGCCAGTGCAAGCTTGGGCTTCGAGCAGTCTCTGGGCAGTAATCGTATCAACAATACCACGGCGGAGCGCTTCTACAATTGTGATCTTCTCCAGTGTTTCTGTGTCAAAAATAGCTCCTACGGGACTCTGGTCGTCAAACACGGCAGGCGGGGAAACTGTGATGGAAATGCTGTTGAAGCGTTTCCGTACAGTGGGGGAGGATGGAGCGGCTTGAGTGGGGCTGCTACAGGTAACCACGTCCTCTACAGAGCTAGCAGCGATGGTCATTTCTGTTCCACTGGTTCTGCTTGCGATCATATCAGCAAACTGTGTTAGCGTTAGCGTTCCACTGCGGTATTCCTCCAAATTTCTTTTCTCAATGACGCCGCGCTCCATACAGTCTTGGATGTCATACTGTGTTCCTGTTTTCCTGTCCACTATCACCAGGCGACTGGAGCCATCAGACCCCTTGATGGTAATTTCTTCCCATTCGCACTCTTGCTCAGACAGGTCAAGGAAGGTATCATAGTCTATGAGTTCTTTGTGATAGGCTTCCCTTACAGACATCTCCAACCCTGTGTCCGGGTCGACTATAACAACACGCCTTTTGCGGAGTACATTGGTGCGGCTCGTCTTTGTTGGCTCAACTTTCTTTTTATCTTTTAGTGGCAGCAGAATTAGACCAGTCTTTTGATCAGTAATGCACCTTTCTTTCAGTTGAAGATAGGTAAGGTTTTCTTTAGTGTTGGGGTCGAAGAAACCTTTTGTGTCATCTCCCTCGTAAGACAGGATCTCATTCATCTCTTTATCAAAATATCCTCTTTTATAGGCCACATCTACATCAATCCTGTGACTCTCTTTGGGGTCAATAATCCCACCACTGGCTATTTGGGCCTCCAGTAAGCGGATTCCGTGACCTTTTTCAATAAGTTCTTTTTCTATAGCTTGGAAGAGGGAGATTGTCTTTCCAGTGTGTGGGTCAGTGTATCCAATTACTGCCTTTTCTGCGGACAACAACTTATTTTTAAATTCTTTTCCAACCAGACCCCTCTTTGCAGCCTCTTCAACAGGGAGGAAGAGATTGTTGACTGGATCAACTATGAATCCAGATGCTGCTTGGGCTTCCAGGAGTTCTAAGGTGGTTCCTCTCATGAGCAGGCCTTCTCTCATCGCCTGATAGAAGGGCATGATTCTGTCATTGACCTCATCATAAATGCCTGCAATGCAAGTCGAACCATACAGATAGTTCTTGAGTTTGTCTTCGATATCTCTGCTTGTGAGTGTTCCTGCATTTATCTTCTGCAAATCTGTCGCGGTCAACAGTTCAGATCTTACAAGCTCATCAACGCTGACTTCACCTCTCAATCCTTTTACGGTCATAGGTTTGTCTGGGCCACGCAGCAAAAGTAAGCCAGAAACTGGTTCCACTGTGCACTTCTTTCTTAAGTCACTATAAGTTATCTTTGCCCCTGAAGAAGGATCAATGTAGCAGGCTGGCTTCTTGTTCAAAGCCCTGTACATATCTTCGTCAATCAGATTGCGATCCAGTGCCACATCTTTTGGAAGGAAGACACCTAACACGGGATCTATAATGCCTCCTACAGCCTCCTGAGCTTGGAGCAAACGGAGAGCGAGATCTTTCTTTATCCGTCCTTGTTTGCAAGCTTGGCCAACTGACAGAATTTTTCCAGAAAATGGATCTTTGAAGCCCGTGCTAGCCGCTTCAGCTGTTAGCAAGGTATCTCTGTCATCTGTGTCGACAATGCCCCTAGAACAAGCTGTATCAACTGGCATCCTCTCATTAAATGTTGGGTCCACCATGTAGCCTGTAGCTGCTTGGGCTTCCAAAAGCAGTATTGCACTATCAGAGGACAGGAGATTTTTATTTTTAGCTTCTGTGAATGGCATTTTTCCGTGAGAGCCAGTTGTCATGCCAGCAATAATCCCAGTGCCTTTAAGATTGACTTGGATGTCGATTGCAATCTCTTCCACAGTCTTCTTGCCTTTCAAAAGCAGGTCTAGGGTGTGTTTGCTGATGATGCCACAATCACAGAGCTGGTGGGCAGTGACTTTGCGCCTAACACCATCAAAGACTAACTTGGATGGATCGATGGATGATCCTTTCTCATCTGTTTGTGTCTGTCTGCACAGAGTGTCAGGTCTTTGCTGGAGTCTTTTGATTTCTCTTTCCAAGGCCTCTCTCCTTAGCAGCAGCTCAGATACCTCCTTCTCAGAACTCATGAGACGGCTCTTGTATCTCTCCTCCACAGTTCTCAGCTCCAGCATTAGCTTCTCAATCTGACTTTTCAGTGTCTGTCTCTCACGATCGCCCCTGTCTCTGTCACTGTTTAGCTGCTTAATTTGACTATCTCTCAGCTCGTACTGGCTCTTAATGTAGGTTAATTCCTTGAAGATGTTGTTCTTTTCATCCTGGAGCCTTTGCTTGTTGCGTAGCTCGGTTTCCAGACTGATCTTGATGCGGTTAAGTTCTTCTTCGGATCTGCTGCTGCGGCTTTTCTCTTGTTCAAGGAGTTTGATCTTTGCAAGCAGGTTGTCCTTCTCCCGAAGCATTTCGGTGTACTGACTTTGAGATTCATGAACCAAGATGGTAGTCTGCAACAAAAAGTAAAAATACAATCAGTTAAATTATAAAATTAATTTAAATCAAAGGTCATACTACTTCTAGCAAATGTGCAAAGCCCTTTCTTAGCTTGTCACCTTCCTGTTTCCATGGAAATCATATTTTGGAACATTCTCCATGGAGATAGATACATTTTGCACCTGACTGTGTAATATTATAACCAAAGGAACAGTATTTCCATGGAAAAAGGGAGATGGAGGCCAAATAGGATTCATTTAGGACAAATAGTTTTGTGGAAATGCAAGCCCATTTTTTCTGTGAAAATGTTACATGGTGGGGCTTTAATTACAGATATATCTTTATTCATGATATTATTCTATATATTATATATTTATATTTAATTAATTATAATAAATGGAATTAGCTTCACATGTTAAGGCAAGTCATTTCATCAAGTTAAATGTTATCAGTTTCATCCAAATACAAATTTAACATTATATGCAATGAGCAATGATTAATTATTGTAATGAATTTTAGCCATAAGGGCAGTTGGAAGACCAATATAAATTATGAAAAATAAACATCAAATATTCATAGGGTTTACAATGAATTGATGGTTTGAATTGTTTAGGTGAGTTACTGTCAGTGATTACACGTGCAACATGCAAAATGCCACCCACAGTGTGTCATTAAAACTCATCTACAAATTAAAGTGAACTCTACTCATGCCAAGCAGCAGAAATGAATTATGCTGAGCCATGGAGATGATCCGTCCATGCATTTTACAAGTACCTCAATTGACTGCTTTTGGATTTTGTCTATTTCCATTTTTAGCTTTTCCCTCTCCTTGGTCAGATCGTTGATGAGGGCCTGGAGCTCTGCCGTCCTCTTGGTGCTACTCTGAAGCTGGGTGTGCAGCGCCGAAATCTGGGCCGCGCTTTCTCCATCAGCCGCATTCTTTCTATTCTTCAGCTCATCTCTCTCCTGCTTTACTACTCTCAGCTCCTCCTCTAACCTCAACCTCTCCTTAGTCAAATTCTGTGTCAACGTTTTCAGCTTCTCAATCTCAATTGTGTATTCGTTCAGCAGGCGGCTCTTCTCCTCAATGGTTTTGTATAGGGTTTCATTGCGTTGGTTCAACTCCTGAACTTTCACCTGCTCTTGCTGCAACTTGCTTTTAAGCGCTTTTATCTCTGCTAGTGCTGCGGCTAACTCATCCTTTGTTCTCTTATGATCCCTTAGACTCTTCTCAAGTTCCAGTTTTAAGTTCTTCAATTCCTGCTCGTACTTCTTCCCCACAGTGGTCGACTCTATTTGGATGGACTTGAGTGATGTAATAGTTGTGGTGTGCTCTTTGCAGACTTGGTTCATTCTTTCTAGCTCGGCTTCCATTCTTTTCCTTCTGGTAAACTCCTCTTGTGTTGTCTTCTTCTGTCTTTCCAGTTCAGCTTCCATGTTATCTAGTGAGCACTGAAGTTCACGGATGCGAGTTTGAAGTTTTGAGGAGTTTTGTTCTGCTTTAGCCTTCTCGCTGCTCTGTTTCTCCAACTCTACTTTGGTGATACGAATCTCATGTTCTGTTACTTTCATCTTGTTAATGGTGTCAATGTAGGAGGCATTCTTGGCTTTCAAATCTGCTTCACTCTGCTTCAACCGATTCAATTCCAATTCCATTGCTCTCCTCTTTTTACCCTCCTCTTCTAGGTTAAAGGTGAGGATGCTTATTTGTCTGCTCTTATCCTGGTTGCTCTTGGTGGCTTCCTTTAATTTCAAATCATCTTCTTCCCTTTCCTGTACCAGGCTTCTAATCTGCACCTCCAGCTCAGTGCGGGTTCTGCTCTCCTGGGTGAATGCCGCCCTCTGCTGGTCCACCTCCTGCTCCACTCTGTTCTTTTGCTCCTCAATGTGGGCAATTGACATTCTCAGCCTCCTCAGCTCCTCCTCTACATCTCTCTTCTCCGCTGCCAGTTTCTCACATCGCAATTTCCATTCCGTAGCATCTTCTTCACGCTGCTGGGACTCCTTCAGGATGGTTGTCTTGGTCACATGGATTTGTGTCTCGTAAGTTTGCTTAAGTTGGCTAAGTTCCTGGTTGCACTGTGCTCTTACCTTAGACGATTCCGTCTCGGCAGTCCTGCGCCTTGCTGCTTCTTCCTCGAGCAGTATTTTCAACCTCTCCAGTTCACGTTCTTTATCTTTCACAGACTTTTCCAGATCAATCTTGGTCCAGTTCAGTTCTTCTAGCTCTTTCTGTCTTCTACGGACAGCAGCCTCATATTCTTCTTGTTGGCTGGTATAGCGTTCTTCAGCCAGTCTCCTCTTTCTCTTCTCCTCATCCAACTGGTATTTGAGGGTAGTTAGCTGGCTATTAAGATCTTGAAGTTGGTTTTGGGTTCTGTCAAGATTGTCCTTGGTAGCGTTAACTTGTAGCACGGTGGTGCTCTTGATTTCTTCCATAGAAATGAGCTGATTTTTGTATCCGGTGAGCTCCAACTTTAAACGTGCCAGTTCATCCTCCAAGTTTTTGTTTTTGATGTTACGGTCATGGAGATCATCTTGGAAACGTTTTAGTTCTTCTTCAAGCATTTCGATTTTGGTGTTTCTGATCTGTGAAGAGAAAAAAACAAACCAAAAGTGAATTGATTACTTAAATTGTGAGTACTCATAACTCAAAATGTGAGATTATATAATTATTTCAAAATGTTTGTGGTAAACCTAAAAGTGATGGTAAAACTTTATAGATGATAACACTTTATGAAAAGATAATTATTTAGATTTAGTACATAAAAAGTGATATAAGTAAATAGTAATTTAAAATATAGTTTTCATCTACATTTTTATTTTAATTATTAAGGTTTGACGAAGATTTGTAATTTTTTTGTTCAATAGAAACCATTCTTTATCTTTTTTTTTTTTCTAGCTGTTTTTATATGTATATTTTTGTTTGCTTAAACTATGAACATGCTGAAAATAAACCCTCGGCCATTTCAGTAGATCTCAAACTATAAGAAAAAAAATATTTTTCTTTTCAGTCCAGATCAAAAAAGTAGTGGGTTGAGAGAGTTGAAAGTAGAGGTATTGCTCTCAAATGTACTGAAGTAAAAGTAAATAAGTATCCAATTTACTTCAGTAGAAATACTTAAGAACAATACTTTTTACTTTTACTCCACCACTGATATACAGTAGTTTAATGGTTTAGATGAACACAGTACCTTTAGCTCTTCCATGGTCTTGAGCAACTCTCCAAGGAACCTGTAGTAGTCTCCAGAGCGGGTCAGTAGCTCTATGTAGCGAGCCTGAAGTTCATTAGCCTAAAGAAGTACAAATATCAGATATATCAAAATGTTACATCATTACTTCACAACATTACTGACAGAAGATATTGAACTGTCATACCTCAGTTCTCACAACAGATGCTGGGGACTGAATCATGGTCTTCTTGATGGGAATGTTGAGCAGAGTTTCCAGACCAGCGCTGTAGGAAGCAAGCTGCAGCTCATAGTCCTAAAATATAATATATCCTTTTATAGGTTTGGATCTCACATCTGATCATTTTGTATACTGATTTTTATTAATTAACCTTGATAGAGGAAGCGCAAGTGTCAGCATTTTTCTGCAGGTCCTCCACTTTGTCCTTCTTGCTTTTGATTTCAGTGTGCAACGTCTGGGGAACAAAATAATCCAACATAAATTTTACATATTCACAACATGACATATAATTTATCCTTGCATTATAATTGATCTGATCTATCTTGCATTTATTTAATTACAGCCGTACTATGGAACATTCCAGGAAAACATCTCCATTAGCAGAAAATGTCAATATGCTATTCTCTATTGGGTGCCACAATGAAAGAAAACCCAATATATGTGTCACCTAGTCACTGATCATAATATTATGCTTGATTAATGGATTGATGGGTTTCAGATGACATCACAATATTGCATAGAACAATAATATTAAATTGGTGGTTATCATATTCTAGAATGTGATAATATTCTACTCCAAAATGGGGGAAGAGTCAATTCTTCCTGTTGATTATATTGTGTTTTGCAGTATAATATCCAAAAGGTAAAATTCACAAATGTTGAACCTGATCATTTCTATTAGTTACTAGACCCAAGAACTCATGGTAACAAAAATCTGCCTTTTAACAATATTTATGTTATCTGTCCACATCTGTATTAAATACTATTAAATAGAATACAATGTTGTGATGTCATGTGAAAACTAGTAATACAGATGGGAGCAGCTAAAATTAATATTGTTGAAGTGCTGATTTTTGCTGTAATAGACTGAGGTCTTGGGTGTCATTAATTTAAATGATCATTTGTGAGTTTACATTTTGTATATTTCATGGCAAAATGCAATACATACAAATTCTGCCTCTTGCCCCCCCCCAATCTGGCAGTGTGACATAATCACATTCTGGAATCTGAAAACCACCTATATCTATGTATCTTCCAAACAATTCCCCCATGTTTTGTTTGTTGAGGTAAGCTGTTGCGGACGTGCCTTCTGCTGATTGAGGTGCTCGGTCAGGGTCTGGATGTCATTGATTTTAACCAGCTGCAGATTGTCCTGGCGCTTCCTGGCATTGTCTATCCACTGGTCCAGGGAAGTGCTCGTGTGCTGATAGTGCTTCAGCTGCTTCTCCTGCTTCTCCAGATCCCAAACTCTAAAGAGGAAGAGGAAGATGGAACATTCCAGGTTATTCTTAACTTTTTTACCACAAGTGACCCTTACCATCAAGGCTCCAAGGCTGCAACAATTAATGGACTCATTTTGATAATAGCGTCATCTATACAACCTGTTTTGTTTTTTTGTTTTTTTTACATTTTATTTTGGATAAGTTTATGCACTGAAAAACAAAGAAAACTATCATGCAGGTGACATGCCACTTCCAGAACTCAACTTTAATTCAAAATGACAAAAATAATAAATAATTTTAGATTTTCAGCATTCATAAACTCTGTTTCTATATACTCACTGTTTGGAAGCTTTTAATCACTATATTTCATTCTTTTTTGGCTGATAATGTGTCTAAAAAACTCTACTGTATAAGACAAATAATCATCTGAGTAGTTGAGACTTGTAATATATCGAATTACAAGACTCTTTGCTTAAATTAATCGTCATGGTGCAGCAACAGCTAAAAAAACAGAAGGAACTACTTAGACCATGATCCTTTACTGTTTCAGCGCAAACTACATGAGTATTAATTATTTGTATTAAAACAGTACCAAAGGCTTGTCAAGGCATTTGAAAGGAAAAAGTAGCATATTCACAATCTGGTTAGCCTTCACAAAATATTGTAATAAATATTGAACTGTGAGATGTGTATCGTGAAAATATTGCATCGAGAGAGTTGCATACCATTACATCCCTACTTGTGAATCAGTAAAGCTTGTCTAAGTCACATATACAGTAGAATTATCATTTTACCTGCTGTCGATCTGGGTGTTTATACGACGCCAGCGGTCAGTCATCTGGTTGACCAGGTCGGAATATTTGGACAGGTCAATGTCACACTTGTGGAAGCCATCAGAGACTTGGTTGTTCCAGTGCTGAGCCGTGGATAAATTGGACTCCAAAGAATTCAGCAAGTCTCTCTTGTGCTCCAGATCACCCTTCATTTGCTAGAAACAAAACAAAAACATAAACAATGATAATGACATAGTACTAACATGTGTTTGGATGTGGAGTGTCTAGAGGTGGGCCTTTTGTTAAAAACTGAAATCTAAAATCAAATTCATAATTTTTTGCAGTATCTCGATGACAAAATTTTAAGGATGCAAGAAAGACAGAAATGTGCTCAAATGTGCAGAAATATTACTTTATACCCTTGTTTGGGTGATTACAGTTTATTTAACAGTTTCAATTATACATGTGTTCTAAAAATGCATTTAAAGATTGTGTTTTTAAGCACTTTTTAAGCATTAGCACTAGTAATACAAGCTATATGCATCACATCAGCTGCATGCTCTGCCTGTGACTATGTGCGACTGCATTGTTCCTGTCAAATAAATCAATAAAATTAAAATAAAAAAAAAAAGAGTATCATGGTTTATTTTTCTCATTTAGGTCTGTTTAACTGCAACTACTGACTTTTGTACTAATTGTCTTATGCATTATAGTTTAGAATGTGTTAGTAATTCAGTTTTTTTTTTTTGATACAATTATGAATGCCATTTCAAATCTAATCCTTGTAATACACAAATATAAATGTAATACTGTATTGACTCATTGATGTAAATATAAACACATCGGCTAACCTTCAAAGTAGTGCGGTAGTTTTCGATCTCATTTGGGTCCAAAGAAGTGGTCTCCTTCTCGGTCAGACGAGCTTCATAAACTTTGATCACATCCTCAGTCTGAAGAAGACTCTGCAGCAGGGCCTTCAGAGCTGTCAGCCTGTCAGGACATAACAATATGATAAATTAATTATAGTGGATCCAAAGTACAACCTGAAATATATCTGTCACATGCTTCTCTGTACCTTTGCAGATAGGCGGAGTAGAGTCCCTGCAGTCCTCCAAGTTTTTGGTTGATAAATTCTAGTTCGGCTCTGAGGAACTTGGCCTGCTCAGAATCGGTTGGGATGCCCTCCAACTGTTTGATGATGCACTCCCGAAGGCGCAAGTAGTCATCATGCATTACGTCCAGGTCTTGGTGCACCAGCTGGAAAACAATATGGTGATTATGCTGAGCACTAAAGGAATCTTAATGGTATTTTGGATAGAATGAGTTTAAACAGTGTGATCCCACTGCAGCGGAGTGTATTTGCTTTGGCCAAATACATCACAGTCAACATAGATACAAGGGTTAACAAATATACAAAGTTAAAAAGTGTGTCATTTCATGAAATTGTTATAACAAATGTCTATCCCTAATAGTCCCATTTTGTTATGGTCCATATAGATACATAGTATGATATATTAATGTTAAATCAAAACATCTTAATTTGTACATGAATGAAGTACAACAGAAAAGTATTATAGTGGATTTTTATGTAATCACCGACATTAGACATTACCAACATTATTTATATAGTACATTATAGTGTATAGTTATACATAGTTTTATGTATAACCGTAGTCTTTTAAACTGAGCTCATTAATCCTAACACATACCGTAAAATTATGTGATAGTACAGAAGTTGTATACTCATATGATAGTACACACACATGTTAATGAGATAGTACCTGTAGTTTCTGGATGTGCACAGAGCACTCGTGCAGGCTGTTCTCCCCCGGGAGAATGTGCAGGTGGCTGGTCAGGTCAGTCTCAGCCAGCTGCAGCCTGTACCTCAGGTCGTGAAGGCTGTTGAGCAGGGCCATGCTCAGCTTGGATGTGGGAGGGGTCTTGACCACGGTCACCACGGTCTCCGTCATCTCTCTGGAAGTATCTGATTTGCATTTGACTTCTTCTTCGACTTTTTTACATTCTTCTTCTTGTTTGAGCTCTCCAGCTGCAAAAACATTTATTTCATTTATTTATTTATTTATTACCTCCACCAAGGAGGTTATGTTTTTGCCGGCGTTTGTCTGTTTGTTTGTTTGTTTGTTTGTTTGTCTGTTAGCAACATAACTCAAAAAGTTATGGACCGATTTTGATGAAATTTTCAGGATTTGTTGGAAATGTGAAAAGGAAGAACTAATTTCATTTTGGGGGTGATCCGGAAGAAATCCTGGATTCTGGATCACTTTGAAATTTTAGTTAACATTGTGGTAAATGGGGGCAAAAATTTAGTTTCTCAATATCTCGGTTAATTATTGACCAAACCCCATGAAATTTGACTCAGGGATGGACAATGGGATCCTCTTTCATATTCCAAAGGCTGATCCGGATCTGATCCAGAAGACTGATTTTATCGCAATTTATATAAAAAATGGGGGTAGTCCTTGGCGGAGGTCTGCTTTTCTAGTTTAATTTTATTTTTATGAGGTATACAGACAGAAATTGGTGGAAGAGTATGTTACTGAATTCATGAAAGTACTGAGTTACTGTTTTGATGTAACATATGTCTTATGATTTAGAGCAGTGCTTCTCAAAAGAAAATATTTGCCTTCACATGAGTACTAAACACCTAAACTAGTGCTAAACCAGGTCTGATAAAATCAACTCTTAATTAAGTTCAAACTAGAACTTTTTGCGTAGAGAAAACATTAAATAATGCACACAGATTCTGTTATCTCCATAGAATTTACAACTTCAATTGTAATCAAGCTTGCCACTCATAAATTATTGTGGTGAGTATGAAGTAAAAATAATTTTGGCAGGAGGAAAGTACAATTTCTTAAAGAACTGAAATTAAATCCTGTCCATAACTCCTCCCTCTGTGTACAAGCTTACTGTAATAGGGCAGTTGGATGATGAGAGTGTCGTAGTGGTTCTGGGCCTTATCGAAGTGTCCCTGGATGTTCCTCTTGTCCTCCTCCCCAAACATCTCAGAGCCCTGGCAGCTGCGCAGGAACTCCTGGTAGTGTGTTTCCAGTCTTTTGATGATACTGCGATATTCCTCGGGACGCATCTTAGACAACTGGGAAGAAAATAATAAATTATATCAATAAATGCCTTCATAATCAACACTTGTGGAAATTCTCTATTTTATAGTAAATAAATAATTTAAAAGTCATTAAAGGTGCACTATGTTTGCTTGTCTCCATGGAGATGCCATTTTTTTGTGTCGAATGTTTCACACTAAGGCATTAAATTGATAGATCATCATGGAGATGAGCAATATGAATGGGCAGGTATGTTTTTCACATTTTAGGGCAATAAACACACTTTTAGTCAAGTTAATGTCATAAAGTGGAACATTCCAGTTAGTGGGCACTTATTAGTCAAAGTTACAAAGATGCAGATTTATTTTCTGGAGAGTCAGAGGAATGTAGGATGTGGTGTACTGTATTATGTATAAAACTGTGTTGGCATTTTCATTATCAATTTCTCAATTTGGAATCAATAAAATGAATGCATATAGTGCATATTTTAGCCAGAAGGATCAGTTAAAACAGTTGCTCTTTTGCTCATACCATGCTCACAGTCAGGGAGTTGATGTAGTTGATGTCTTTGACACAATATTGCCATGAGATCAGACTCTTGATGTTGATGTAGAGCTGGTTCCATATGCCCATAATGGCCTCATAGTACTGCTCATTCCTGCAAAGAAGATGGCAAAACGTCGACTTAAAAAAAAGCTAGTAAGTTAAGTTGTTTTTAGTTAAATTTTCTATCTTAAAAGCTGATCTACTGTTATGCTGTATTTTCCTTACTTGTTTGCAACTCCAATGCTGAGTGGGTTGGGAGGTGGGATGAGCAGACACACAGATGGAATTAGCATGTCCAAGCCTCCAGGTCCAGTCACCAGCCACTTACTGCGCTGGGAGTTATCTTTCAGGATTCCCTCGTTTCCTTTCAAAATCCCTTTCTACGAAGCAAAAAAACACTAAATAAACATGTATTCAACATAAATTGCGTATGACAGGTTAGACTGCACATAGGTAACATAATAATTTTAAACATTTTATTAATGAACTTGCTTAAAAGGTGCTCTATCTGTATATTTAACACGAAAAACAGTAAGTAACAAAGAGTAAGTGAAATTTAAATGGTTTGCAGTGGTCCAAAGTTATTCTGACAACTCCCAGAGACCGCAGCAGAGTTTTGCCATGACGGTCAAATTAACAACGAACATGCTAACTGTACACTTCCTAATTATTAGACAATAGAATGCTTTCTAATTAGCTGCAATATTGTGTGATGATGACATAGGTAGAAGAATTCTGTTTTAGAACTCAAGCGCTACTACCTTTATTTACTTATATTTTTTCAAACTTTTCTTCACAAACTGCCACATGGCGTAAAACTATGATAAATATGATCAATATTTCCCACATGTACTATCCCACCAAATGAAGTATAATTACATAAATATGAAAACATGTTATATGCACATTAACACAATATACTGGTCCTGGACTTGTTTGTTACCTGGTCTTGCTTGAAGTCACACAGCGCCTGGACTATAATTGGACTGCTGCTTTTGTCCTCTGGGTTACGAGGCTTCAGACGGACAATGGTCTTGGATTTATTCACCAGGCTTTGGACTTGCCTCTTGTTCTCCATAATACGCTCTTTCTCCCTCTGTAGAACAAATGAGACATAAATAAAATGTTTAAGGTGATTCTAACATGGAAACAACTGTTGTAATAAGTGGAAAATACAGGAGCAGAAATTAAAAATATTTTCCTATTTATACAGATGTTACAAAAGCATACTGGTGAAAAACAGAAGTACGAGTACAGGCCCCCACAACCACTGAAACACATACAGAAGCCTGTTGAAGTTACACCTAAAAAGTAATGTTTTAATAGCAATTAGGTAAAACAAATTATTATTTTTTGTACATTTAAGACTGATAAAAAAGGCAGTTTCAGTGGATCTTATCACACTGAGAAAAACAAATTGATGGTTCATTGCATGGGGTGTTTAATTAAACTTGGTCGGGGCAGTGCACTTTCCTTTATTGCAAAATGTTGTGTTTATTCTGCTTGCTCTTATTATTTGCAGAGTAAATATTGCAAACAGTACCTCCAGATTTTTCAGCAGTTCCACCAGGTTTTCCATCGGGGTGTTTTTGTCACAGGTGAACTTGTTCCGGATCTTCTCGTCCTCCTTCTGCAGTTTGGTGTACGTCTCATTGGCCTCTTTGAAAAACTGTAATGAAAATCTGTGTTTAGAAATACAGTACCCACACATAGTATATGATATTCAAGGGGTAAAGGTCTAAAATGTTACCTGGCTATAAGCGGCGTTTTCTTTCAGATGGACATGGATGCACTTGGTAATTTGCAAAAGCCAGCTCCACTGAGTTTGTAGAGTGTCCATGTAAGCCTATGGAACAGACAAAATATTCCCAAAGATATTTTATTTGTCTATTTACTAAGAATAATAATTGAAATGATTAAATAAAATATATAATAAATAATAAATCAATAATATAATATGTAATTAATTAATTGAATCAACCGTACTTATTTTAATCACAGTATGATGCTATTTTGTTTCCGTAATTTTTTTTTAAATAAATGTATTAAATTTAATACACAATAATAATAATAATAATAATAATCTAACCAAAATAATATACTCTGTCTGTTTATTTCACATATTTTATCATTCAGAAAGTTTGATCGTAGCATTAAACATTAAACCGTAGCACTAAAACTGGCTGCAAATGCTGTATTTTATTTTTTTTTATTTTTTTTATTAGTTTCATATGATCTAAGCCATATCAGGCAGGCTTGTTTTACCTTATTGGTTAAAATAACTTGTGTACATTGTAGTCATAGCAACCCACCTCTATCTTATCTGCGGCTGGGTGGTTACTGGTCAGAAGTCCATCCGCCTTGACTTTGATTTTGTTCAGCTCCTTCTCTTTCTCCTCCAGATCTCTCATCAGCCTCTATGAGTACAAAAATATAACATTAGCTAAAAGTTCATTCAGGTCTATTTTATTTTTCATTTTAGCTGTAGATTCTCACTGAGTAGCTCTCTTGTTTCTTGGGGATGTAGTGGTCTATGTTTTTGTCTCCCCAGTCGAACACCAGCTCCTCCTCTTCTCTCTCGTTCACCCACATGATGGCTCTGGACACCTCCTCAATGATGTTCTGAAGCTCACGCAGCTGACTCAGGCGACTATGGGACATTTTCTATAGAAGATACAAAATTAGTATTAAAATTTACATAAGAAAAAATGAATAAATAAATGGTAACACTTAACAATAACTACACTGTAATTAGCCTTGATGAAGCATAAACAAAGACAAAGACTTTAACCCTACCTCTTAACCCATAATACCTTAATTAAGTAGTTACTAAGACTGAATCATTCTTAATAAATTATTTGCTCATCACAAATATATTAATTGTCCATGCTTTGTTAAGGATAAAAATGTATTCTACAGTTACCTGCAAACTGTCCCATTCTTGCTCCAGGGTGTAGAGGTTGTACTTGTCATTTCTCATGTTCTAAATTATAAATAAAATGATCATAAATAAACATTTCCACGCGCATATGTTGCTTTATTACATATATTGATATCGATTAGGGTCTGACCAGGTCGTCTCTGGCGGTCCACCTCTGGGCTCCGCTGCAAGGAGCTGTGGATCTTCTGGTGACTGGAGATCTGCTTGTCGATGGTGGCTGAGTCTTCCCCGAACGGAGCAGTTTCAATCATGCGCTGAAAGTGAAAAATAAAGCATGGATAATATTAAATGTACAACAAATACGGCAGCCCAAGGTTTATCTATGAAAAAAAAAATAATAACAATAAAAAAACATGTTGCATAAGCCAAGATATTGAACAAAAATGTGGTATATTTAGTGTAAGCATATAAAATTAATGATAATCATGAAATACTGAATTATCTCTGCTATCACTGCGTTGATGGTTTGGGTCAAAGTTATTATGGCAATAAAAAATAAGTAATTAACGCGACACTTTCTCTTCCTGTTCTCACCAAGCCACTTTATACTGGCCTCTCTGGCGTTTGTCCATAACCTCTGACATCAGTGTTGTTTACAGAGAGAGCTCCTTAACCCAGGTTAGGTTAAAATCTAAAATCTGTGCACACAATTACATGGTATTCTCATAATAAATACCTAAAAGGTAAATTCAGAGAGGAATATTATGATGTCATATGAAACTTAATCATTCTCTACTAATCTTTCCTAAGCAGTTATGGTTTTGGTTGCTCAATGGATACAGAATTTCAACCACAACAAGTGCATTATGGGTTTAAAAACAAAGCCCTGATGTTATAATCTTTTTTATGTGGAATTTAAATTAAAATTATAGGCTAATTTTGGTGAGTACTGTAAACCACAAAGAACACCACTCTATTAAATCTAGTACATTATATTGTCAAACCAAACTAGTACATATGCTACTTCGAAGCTACACGTCCAACGCCTTTCGCTTTGTGTTGTTCCTAACTTTGCCCTCTAGATGTCAGTGTACACCCTTATAACCGTCACTAGGCTGGAAACTATGCCAACTATTCCCCCCTTGTTCTCTGGGCAGTGCTTTTGATAAGACCTTTCTGTTGTGGAACCAGGCTCAGGCAGTCTCTGCACTTTGCACACACATTTTTCCTCCTCCTCTGCTCTCCGGGCCTTTTGTTCTACGGCCACTCCCTTCCTCCAGGCATACTTGGCTTCAACTACACAAAACACATGATTCTAACTTGTCCTCTTTTGAATTAGAATGTCTAGGTCAAAATGTTTGGTCTATGTTTTGTTTTAAGTCGAGTTACAGTGTAAGATAATGCTGTAGAAGGTGGGGTTAAGATAGTTGGGGATCAGGAGAGAACCGAAAGGGTGGGTTCGAAGGGTGAGGCCGTAGCGGTGACAGAGTGGTAGGGTGTGTTTTGGGTTGGGAGGGAGGGAGAGAGATAGAGAGATATAGAGAGAGAAAAAGAGAGAGAGAGGTAGAGTTAAGGGCGTTTTCCCATGAACGTGTTACAGATCGACTAAACCAGCCTGTCCCATAAAAAACATACTCAGTCAGAAGGGAGAATCAGATTTCAACACTCACTTTTGGTTTTGCTGAAATTATAATTCAAATTAAGGCAGGAGAAAGTACACGAAGAAGAAAAACCAAAAGAAAAGAAAAGAAGCACTTAAACTTGCACTGGAATAAAGGAAAACATGCACTGAAAAATAAATATATCATATACTTAAACAAGTCTAATTTATAGTATTAATATAGTAGTGGGCAACAACTATAACTAGAAGTACAACTTAATTATGACTTATTATGAATTATGACGACTACTACTACTACTACTACTACTACTACTACTACTGAAGTAATAAGCCAAGATCTTGCAGTGAAAATATTCCCATTCAAAATTTAGATAATGACGAATCTAAAATGCTATGCTCATTTACCGAATGCAAGCTTATGAAAAAGTCATGTAGTACTTTAGAGTACTTTTACAAAGCATACAATACCTACCATACAGTACAATTACTTCAACCCTACGTTTGTCCCTATCTCATCCTACTGACTCCATTCTCACATAGCAGCTCCCCCTGAGTCTCCCTTTTGTCTCAGGCCCTGCGCAGCCCGCTTGGCCTCTTTCGCTCACGGATCAGGTTTAAACTGTGTGTCCAGATGGTTTCAGTTACACCAGGTCAGAGGAGTGATATGCTAACTGCCCCCCTCCTCTCCTCCTTCCTCTACTCCTTCCTTCTCCTCCTCTTCCTCCTGTATCCCTTATCCTCCTTCCCACATACAAAAAAAAAACCAAACACTGATGCACCAACACAGACAAGTATTCACAGGCAGATGAGACTATTCGGACTGAGGTAACCAGCAGAACGGGGGACACGGCTCGCACCAGTAGTTTGCCAGACTTGATGATTGTGTGTGAGGATTCTAGCAGGGCAGTGGTTTTCAAACTGTGGTTCACGGACAGATTTACGTGGTAGTATGATGATGATGATTGCAGATATTTTTGATACCAGCCCTGGGTTTGTTCTCATTAAGTTTTACTTTCTTATAATTGACTTGTTACATTGCCAAATAAAGATTAAAGTTGTGCCAGCATAAAAAAAAAAAAAGAAGCTTGTCACGTGATGTTTAATAATCTTTTGAAAGTAGATTTTTTAGATTTTTAAAACATGATGTCAAAATTATTACATTTTAAAATAGAAAGTTAAATTGAAATGTTATAGTCAAAGGAACAACAATTCAAAGGCAGGTTAGGTATGAGTCAGGTTTGTGCAGGTGCAAGCCCGGTAACAATGAGGACACGTGTTGTTCTTTACTTTTGTCTATTTTGGAGCTAAAAGTTCTATGATGGGTTTTTAATTAACTACTTTAACTGCCTGAAGAAAAGTACATATTTACATAATTTACTTTATTGAATTGTTAATCTATGTTTGTGATCTGTCGCACTATTCAAATAAACCATAAATAAATAAAACATTTTGTTCTTATTCCTCAGCTAATTCTAGTTTTCTTGTACTGTAGACCTTGTTTAGCTTTTTATTGAGTTCAGTTCAGTTCAAATACTTCCTGGTGTGGATACTACAAGTTTTACCTTCTGTTGCGCGATCCAAGCCATGGCATCATTGAAAAGCCTTCCCCCGTCACCAGACCCAACGCTGGTCCTCTTTCTTCGGGTGCCCATGCCCCCTGCAAACTGTTGTTGCATGGATGCGTGCATGTACTGGAACTGTTCCAAACTGCGAGGCAAGACAAAACAGACAAAACAAACTATAAATCTGGGTGTGAATTGTTAGTCCCTGAAATGAATGCTAATGTGGCTAACGCTAAAAGGTGCCATGAGGCCAAGAATGCGGGTTTGTGCGAGTTGCTGCAAATGCGACACAGACGGGAAAAATTAACGGCAGCTGCTCAAATGTTTAATATCGAATGTGGTGTATGGGAAAATGCTGATTCAACAGTATTTAGATTGACAGGTTAAGTCAAGTGTTTTCGATGTTATCTACTATAATAATATTTTGTGCAAGTAGTTCCATATGCCAAGAGGTAGGATGTGAGGTTTGAATCGAGAAGGGCATCTGACATAAAATATATATAAATGGGTAAATACTGCATGCACAGAGTATACAGTAAGTCAGGTTTTTTTATGAGTAACAAAAGCAAAGAATAATGCCTCGTGACTCATGGCACTGGCTGAAATAAACCTTTAAACCAAATACCTTCCCTGATGCAACCTCCTATAATAGGTTTAGAGAGCACAAAATCTGATTTTAGTATTTCATAGCATACAATTTACGATTTTAGGATAGAAAAGATCATTATTTTTCTGTCTGTGTTAAAAATGCTTTGCCTAAATGTATAACAGTGTAGCTTAAATATGTCTAACTCCGTGGAAAAAAATGGATGCATATATTTATTGATAAAAAACGAATAATGAGTAAAAGTGATATAGATGGGTTTAATGCCCTACTGTGGAACATACCAGTCAAAGCAATGCATTTCCATGATGGCGAACCTCCAACCAGTAAAGTTACATAGTGCACATCAAGTATTCATTATGCTACTACCAAGTTTTATGTGTTTGTTATTATTACTGGGTGTGTTTCTTAGCCATAGGCATTGTCTTTAGAGTTTATGTAATCATGCCACGCCAAGCCATGATTACTACAATAAAATGGCAAAGGAACCAAGCTACTGGATGCGTCCTCTTACTTTTTGGAGATGTCACTTGGGATTCGCATTTGCTGTAGTTCTATGCCGCACATTCTGAGGTGCTCCATTGATTCTAGGGCCATTGCCATCCATTTCTCTGCTTCCATGGGCGGGCCACCCTACATAAAAGGACAAATTACAATTAACAACACAATCTGGTAATCTCCAGGATCTGTAATAGAAATGTGACCTAATTCTGAAATAAATAAAAAATAAAAAAAACTGCACACAACCCAAAAACAGACAAAGGGTTTATTATGGTCTACTTACACCCTGGAGGACGGTCTTTGCTCTTTGAAGATACTCCTGGCACTGATTTGTGAGATATATAGACCTCTGTTGGATAGCTTGTGCACTGAAAGTAGATTTTTAAAAAGTTATTAAAATAAATAAATAGATTCAAATTTGAAAAAGACATATAAAACAACAGTGTAAATAAATCAGTTTAGATATGTATAGTAATGTGTAACTTGTAGCAAAAAAGTCTTTATGATTATGTGCACGATAGTAGGTGAAGGTGTTACATTGTGGTTGGGGTCACCATGGGGTCATGATGATACACAACGCCGCCATTTTTCATGGTAAATTCCACTGTAAATTTAGAACTAGTGAAAACGTCAAGAGCCAGTGAAATTACTTGTAAAAACATGACATTTGAAGATGACATCACGACGGGAAAGTGGGAGTTACGGTTAGGGGTGTGTGCGAATAGTTATCTGCTCTGAATCAGATCATTTGGCAATAGTCCATGTGAAATCTGGATAAAAAAAAACATTGCACACAATTTTAAATGAGACTAGTTCTTATCATAAAAGAATGTGAAAAGGAGGTTTTCACTGGTAAAGTGGATCCACTGGCTCTTCCAAGGACGCCATGGCGACTGTAAGCTATAATCTTTTTTTTTTTTTTTACTCCAATTAACATAAAAACCAGTTGGATTGCATTTTGATTTCTCTTTGCCCATAACCATTACCTTAGTTTTTTTGAAAAATGTCCGGACTATGCTACATAAAAACACAGTACCTAGAGTTTTATTCCAGCTTTATCAAACTTTAGTGACTTCATTTGACGCACTTGCATTCCCCGAGGACACGTGAACGCAACAGGTGACAATCTTAAAAGTGTCCTTACCTGTGTACCCCTCCTCCTCCGCCCCCCATGCTCATCGCCATTTTCGGTCCGCCGTGGCCCCCTCCGTGCGCAGACGTCCGGGAGAAGGTAGTGGTGGCGTACCCTCCGTATCCGCCGGCGTCGTGGTATTCTCCGGCGTAACCGTTCCCACCGACAAAAACATCGTTCCGAAAAGTTGACAAATCCGGTCGAGAGTTACTCCTCTGTCCCAGCGTGGCCAGTTTGGGGTTCGAACCGTACATACTCATCGCGTTGAATTTGGTGAAGTGAAAGCCGTGTTTTTGTCGTGAATAGTTGTGAACTGCGCGTCGCCTCCTCCTCCTCCTTCTCCTGTTGCGCAGATAGTGAGCTCTGGAGTGAATAGTCGGAAGCAGCTCGCTTTTGGACTGAAACCACACCTTTGCTACAGTGTTTACGAAACAGCAAAAGCCTGTGTGATAGGACTGTTCTACGCCCGTCACTCACTCTGTAGTACCTGTCTATTTTAATAACGCTTTGGCACAAACTTAGAGACAATGAAATAGTTATGTGGGAAATGGTTAAAGAAAGATGGGTCACATTAGGTTACCAGCAGGTGCCTAACCTAAACTTTGTATCATTAACTCGAATATCTTAAAAAGAAATACAAATGTAACACATGTGCACAACTCTCCTTAATTCCTAACACATTTTGGACATTAAATCTTCGCGTAAACCTTAAAAAAACACAAGAATTCAGCCTTTACGCACAACGTAAATTCTTTTTCTTAGCCTACTTAATGCACTATTTATTACACTTCCCTTGCCTTATCTGTAAGTCATATTACTTTCATGTGTATATGATGCTTGGACCTGTCTGACTCCACACATAATATTTAACTTAAGATAGGAATTTAACTCAAACTTTATTACATGATATATGATACCGTGGACTATCCAAGGATTTCAGATTAATGATAAAGTAAGACTGTTGCCGTAGTGATTAACAATTTAAAACAACATATATCTTCTGAATTTGGAAAAAAATGATGAAAAGAATGTTGTATATAACAGGAAGCTGAAATCAGATAGTGATAAGAATCCAATTAGCAAAATGTCAGATACAGTCTCAGCTGTACTTTTGTGTGCTGTATAGAAATTATGATGTCAGTATCACTTCAAGCTATAAATAAATATATACAGTAATGGTTAATTATGTGTAAATATTCTGTCTGTTTACAGGACTGACAAACAGCAAGCACAAGTCTTCTCAGTGCAGGAAGATGCTACGCGGTCAAGTGAAGAATTTGCATCTGGGGTTCAACATTCTTGAGGTCAGAAGTGTCCCATTTAAGAGTTCATCCGTCTCTTCTGGCTGTAAGTTATTTGACACCACTTCTCTGCAACACTAAGCTCCATATCTTGTATCTTTCTCACTACATTTGAACCTATTGGTGACTTTCTTTTTTTTTCTTTTTTCACCTGTGTACCTGCTCATACATCATCAAGCAAGGTGTGTCTGTAAAAAAGTGAAAGGCGGGGAATGTTATCATGACGTAAAATGACGAGTTTTAAATTTTTTTTATGAGGATTCGCCACACGTACCCGGGCATACTCATTCATTTAAAAGTGCAGTTATAAATGAAAAGTACTAAAAACAAAACTCCATTGTTGGCCCTATAGTGTTTGGGCTTAAGGCTGTTTTGGAAAGACAACTTGAAAAATCACTAGGAAAACACTTGACACATCTACAGACAACGCCCCACGTAGGAATTCTAATAGTATTTCAAGATTATTCCATAAAATTTAGCTCAACTTGTCAACAGTGTATATATATGTATATATATTAAAACATTATGTGTATTACTGTGGCTAATTAAGTATTTTGTCCATATAGTATAGTTCTCAAGGTGGCACTAAAGGACCCACCCTTAGCATTTTTGTACTGTAATCCTTGTGCGTTTAAGGTTTTATTGTACGTTGTTTAAACAAAGCCGGTTGCAGGACAGAACTTGCAGCTCCTAACATCTTTTTTGCACGGAAAAGGGAAGGACCAGGAATTGTTGCCAAGATCATCATGTTAATTAGAGAGATTAAAAGTAAAAACATGTTTCTATTCCACAGACCTTGGCGAACTGCATTCTACTCTTGTACTAGCACACAATATGTAATTTCTCTAGAGGAGCGTCAGCCATTGATCTGTCTCCATGGAGATGTTATTGCTTTGCTTAAAATGTTACACAGTATGTCCATACATTTATTTACCTCCATGGAGACAAGCGGGTGACATCGCCGGCACAGGTTACAGGTCAACTTTGTGGAGAGGCGAGCATGCTATCTAGTAAGAATGCAAGGTATATCTAAGCAATAAAAACATGTGCAGTTAAATAAATGCAAAATAGATAGAGCCATAACAAGGGAAAAGTTACATTGTGCACCTTTAATTTAATAGTTTTTTTCCCGCATAACTCACAGTAAACCTCTATGTTTGATTTGGCCTTATGTAAACTCTAACAACAAATGATTCTTCATGGTCTTTTATTGACTATTATTGGTGCTATGGGTGACTGGAGCTTGTGGTAGATCATTTACTATCATAATAAGCATTTCATTGCTACTATCTCAGCAGGATTTTTCGATGTATTTATATTGAGGCTGGATAATAACAACGTATTCTAACCACAAGGGATGGGTAAATAAATTATAGGTTTTAGTGAAATTGTAAGCTAACAGGAAGATTATGTTGTCTTCATAGTTTCTTGTCACTCTCTTTTTCTTGTTGTGGGATACAGGGATAATGTTTGGTGCACTGTAAATTTTTTGGTGGTGGATCAGCCCTTGCTTGTCTCTTTGGTAATTATTTTGCCTGGAATGTTTCACAGTATGGCATTAAACTTTTATGGCTTGCATTTTTTCCATTTGGGGTGTTTGTATGGCTCAAAGATCACCTCTCGTTGACTTAGTGGCATCATCTGCTGGTCTCCGTGGAAATAGTTAGGTTCAATGTCGTATTGTGTAACATTCCAAGCAAAGAAACAGTATCATCATGGAGATAAGTAGGTGGCAAACCCTCCACTAGAAAAGTTACGTAGTGCCCTTATATTATACATCATAGCTACTACTATCACTGCTACTACTTTTGCTATTTGTCATTGTAGATAATTGCAGATGTTCAGTACATTGTCTGCTTGGATGATTTTCCATACTATTTTAGCAGAAAGGGGTGTGGCTCATCAGGTATGTCCCCATCGTAAGTGCCTTTCACTTTAACTTTTAACTTCCCTGCCATCTGTTTTGCACTAACTGCTACCAGCCCCTCTTTCTGCATTATTCACATGAGGCTTTTTTAAACCCACTATAAAAGCTCTGTCCTCTTCACCTAGCTAGTCAATATTTAACTTGATGTTCGACTTTTGGACTATTTACTTGTTTCCGGGTTGTTGTAGGATATAGAAATAAAAAAATAAAAAAGCAGACATGGAGAGCGACAGGGCCATAAAAGGTCGCGGAAGGAGGAATCTAACACCTGGTTGAGTGTGAGAAATAAAGTGCTAGGCTAGTCCCTCCAGTGATTCATAGACATAGTGATCTTTTGACATTAGCAGACACGCTCCTGATATCATTTCCAGACATGGTGGCTTACATCATACCCTGAGAGAGCACAGTCAAAATGCCTCACAGGTGCTTATTAACTGTACTGAGTCACAGGCAAGTGGCATTGTCGTGTTTATTGTGATTCATTCGACTTTCCAGCGTGGTGATGGTGAGGGATACTAGTTTCTATAGAGAATATTTTCTCTGCACGTACTTATACATTCGAAGTGAATCAGTAGGCCTACTTGAGAGTATATTAATAACTTGTACTAAGCTAACGAAAAACTAGTAGTAATAGTAGTGGAGGTCTGTGATGACTGTGCTGTAGGCAAACACAATAGTAGTGGTATGCAAAAAGTTTAGCATTTCAAGGAATAGTGATGAATGGTAGAAACTAGTACCTGCTGTGTTTTCTTGTATTACTATATTTGCATATTTTACATACACATTTATATAATTATATCATGTTTGACACCAGTCTCTTGTTATTTTTGCTATTTATTTAGAATTTATTATTACCATTTATATTTTTGCTCTTCCAAATATTTTCCCTTGTGGATCAATAAAGTTTGTCTAAGTATTAGAGGAGTAATAGATAACATAATTTAGGCTTGTGTTTAGTAGTAATAGCTGCATATATTGTATCTGCAGCAACAGTACTGTTTGTAATGCAATCACACTTTAATATTCTATTCTATATTCTAGTAGTACAGTTATAGAAGAAGTATACAGTTACTAGAAGTAGTAGTAGGGTGGAGTAGCAGAACCAGTATAGTGGCAGTGTTTATTGAAATTACAGTGTAAACTAACTATACTAAAAGTGCAATACTTCCTTAACCTTCTTTTACTCCTATCAATATGCAGTAGTTGTTGCTAAAAGGGACGTAGTCGTAGCCTGTAGACTTGAACAAAATATGGCTCTGAGGCACAAACATTAACCACTAGTAATAAACCACATTCCTACTAATGTGTCTATCTGCAAAGTCAAAGTGCATGTGTCAAACTATCCATGCATACTTAGAACATCTTTCTATGATAACTATTATCTCGACAACTTTAAGACCTTATACTGGATGTTATCTTAAAAGTGAGATTTTTGCAGCTGACCACACCTTAGGGCGGTGATTGTCTGCACCTCGTGTGTAACGAAAAGGTGACTTGTAGACAGAAGACTTAAACGTTCACACACACAGTCATTGCATGAGTCAGAGCACGAGGCGGGGCACCTGACACACCTGGTTGTTAGGGAGGAGATGGATAGGTGCATTTGAATGATACCGCATGGTTCAGAGAGGGAGAGGGAACAAAATGCAACTGACATAAAAGGGTTTCTGTTGGCATGCAGCCACTTGCAGCAGCAGTAATGCAGGGAAATGTGAATGTTTAGGAAGTATAGCTGATTATATAAGTAGTCTGCAAACATATAACTGTCGTTTCTGAGTAGGAAGAAAAACAATAAAGCAAAATAGATCCTAAAGGTAGATTCTTTATTAATCGTTTTCAGAATATGACTTTACTTTTTATATTTGAATGTCATAAATGTTTTTTATTGGTATTTTATGCTTTTATTGATAGGCCTAGACAAAGCACTGAGAGTGAATTGTATTGCTGTTGTTGTACTGCTTATTATCAACCGTTGTTGGGCATGTGGTTTTCTAGTCATCCACCAGGGGTCATCAGCGCACTTGGTAAAACAGTCTACCTGTTAGGTCGGCTACAACGACACATGAATACATTATTCTTGTTGAAATTATAATAATCATTGAGATTATTACTGGACTAATGAGTTGTTGTTTTTTTAAATGTGAAGGAACAATATACTTAATACAGTAAAGCATAATAGGCTATACGTGACATCTAAAAGTTGTATATTTAATTCAGACTGATATAGGCTATTATTAGAGTCACAATTTTTACATAATTATATCAGTACTGTTCGTACATTGGGGCCGTCATAAAAGTTCTACTTGATTCTAATACATGTAATCTTACGTTTCGTCCAGCAGGAGGCAGCATTGTTAAATACGATCTTCACTCAACGCAGTGGGAGACACATGGTCACATGGTCAGGTAACTAACAATCCTCAAAATAATGTTTATAATCACTTGTATTTGTCTCATCTGACTGTTTATTCTTATTTAATATGATTATGGTTATTTTTAACATTTGAGGTGGGTTCTCTTCAAAAGCCATGCATCTATTATCCCTTATTATTGATATCTTAAATTGCTTTATATATATTATGGGGTATTGGGGTATGAAATGCACATGGTTTAAAAAAAAAAAAAAAAAAAGTTTAATAATTGGGTTTATGACAGACTATATTGAGCCTCGTGTTTTACTCTGTAGTCCCAATCCTAACACATTTGTGAGCTGCTGTATTAAAATATGCTGGAGCAGAAAAAGGCGGTGGCTGAGCTTGTTCTAACAATGCCTTCTATTATTTCAAAAATACAGGCGTGCGTCTATGCGCAGTGGAGACGTTACGCGCAGACAACAACACCACTTGACAATGTAATACTTCTTCTACGGATATCCATAAAGGTAGACGCGTAGTATTTACAGGTGGCCATGTTTGGGTTGAGTCAGCTTCAGGGAGGTTTTATGGTCAGGTGAGTTACCTGTAGCGCCCTTGGGGAAACTCACTCGTGATTCCCAGGGACACATCGGACGGAGAGGGAATCACGAATGGATCACGCGACGCCGGAGAGGGCACCCTACCTCCCCCCTTCGCCTCCTCCTCCTCTTTTTGGCCGCAGTTTGTTTTGAAGTCAGCAACTAAACGAGGCTGGCTCCGGGCGCACGCGGCAGGCACAGGGGAAGTGCTTCCTGATAATAGAGAGAGGTGCGTCTTTCCCAGTCGAGCCGATTGACTGACTGCGCACACGCGGCGTTCACTGACGCATAGTGTGGAGAGACGACAGGGGGTAGCACTGCAAACCCCCGGCTTCTCCTCCTCTCCTCTCTCCACTCCTCTGCGCAACGGAAGAAGCATCTATCTGTCTACCGGCGTGGGGAGAAAGAACGAAGCACGAGACGAGAGAGAGAGATGGCCGTGGTGCAGTTAGACACCGGCGGGGAGGACCGTCAGCAGCAACCGGAGAACGGATTCGTGTCCCCGGAAAACTCGTCTTCGTCGGCCGGGCTGCTCACACGCATTGACGGTACCGTGCTGCCTTTTCTTGGGGGATTTGGGAAGTACCAAAAACAGCTGATCGTGCTGACATGGATCCCGGCGATTTTCATTGGATTCAGCCAGTATTCAGACAATTTTCTCCTGGCGCAGCCCAACAACACATGCGTGCAGCCCCTGACCAACCTGACCAACGTGACGAGCGCCGCCGGGTATGCCTCGCTCCTGGACTCTGCGTGGAGAAATAGCAGCAGTAATAGATCGTCTTATGCCTATGCCAATGGGAGTTACAGCAGCAGCAACGGCGGCCACCACAATGACAGTGCCAACATGCAGTGCAGGTGCAGTGAGTGGACGTTTGAGCTGCACACGGGGCTCGTGGAAAATGTGGTCACCAAGGTAAGAATCAAATGATGGATAAGACACCATTAAAGCCCTCCTGCTGTTCTGATGAGGAAAGATTGTCCTTATGAATAATTAAGAGAGGTGTACCGTCCACTAAAGCATTGCAATTTCCTATGCCATGCTTTTAATTCTTATAGTTCCTTACTAAAGACTTAAAATCAATGCAGTTGTATTATTACGCCTCCATTACTCACCTCATGCCATGACATAACACAGTGTAATTGACAGTCTAGTTGACATAACATTACCTTTCCCACATTATGTGTGAAAATACAATTCATGTCAACAATACCATGAAAATATTAAAGAACCCTAACGTTTTGCAACACAAATCAAAGTTTGAATGCTGAAAAAATCTTGAAAATAGCTTATGACATTTAAAAAGCTCTGGTGAAAACTCTTAACAGATTTGGCAAGTTGATATTTGTATTTTTGGCAAGATTTCAGTGGTAGTTCTTTAAAAAAAGTGTTGTCAGATACATTGTTAATACCATTCCAGTATTAAAGATCCCAACATTTTGCAACACAAATTGTAGATTCAGTGTTGATAAAATGTAACTAGAAAATTGCATATGACATTTTTTAAAAAGCTCTGGCGAAAGCTCTGCAGATTTGGCAAGTTGTTATTCGCGTTTTTGGCAAGATTTCAGTGGTAATTCTTGAAAAATTCTTGTATTGTCAGATACATTGTCGATCTCTTTTACATATAAAAAGAACCCAACACAAATAGAAGGGTGAAAGTGGTAAAAATGTAGCTGGAAAATTGCATATGACATTTGAAAAGCTCAGGAAAAGACTAACATATTTGTCAAATTGTTGTTCACATTTTTGGCAAGATTTCAAGAGCAATTCTTTAAAAATGCCCTCTAAGCTTATGATGTCAGCTACATTGAGTTACATATTGAAACTGCTATCAAACTTGATTATGGCATTTCATAGACCAGGAAAACCCCTCGCACAAGCAGCTGCAATATTCAGAGTTTGGCATTCTTAGTCTAGGTCATACTTGTATACAATATCTATTCCTGGTAATATTTGTATTTTTCTCTCACAAGATGCACAATGTTCACACTGAGAGAATCTGTCACTGATAATTAAGCATCTATATCCCTTTGGGCAACACCAAGTAACTTGCTAACAATGAGTCATTCAATCAGTAACATGTTAAAGTGCCCATTATATGCTGTTTTCTTTCTTATCTTTATGTTTTCTCATCAAAAACGTACCTGGAGTTGTTATTTGTTTCATCATTTTCATTTTTAACACACAAATCCTCCCTGCATATTTAGGTTGTATTCTTTTCTCTAACGTAAAACACCCTGTTCCACGTTGTGATGCCATGTTGTAATACAGGAAGTGCTCCACTGAGTTTTTAAACTTTACACACCTTCACTAGAATCATTTAGGCAATTGCATCCCTAAAATTGGCAATCTCTACCAACCAAAAGGTAAAAAGTAGATGTTAATTTGAAAATTGCCACTTCATGACCTCACAAGGTGAAACAGAGCTTTTATTTTTTATTTTTTTGGATAGATAATAATACAGGGTTACTCAAACTCGTGTGAATGAAACTAAACACAGCCCCAGGTATGTTTTTAAAGAGGTAATACCATTATAACATAAAGTTCCCAAGAATCCATTTTGTGTAATATGGGGCATTAAGTACACAGATACATGGTGCAATAGTTTTAGTTCCTATAATAGAATCAGCTGTTTTTAATGGACAATTTAATCACAAGAGCATTTGATTTGGAGCAAAGGTCATCCTGGTGCACACTCTTATGATAATGCAACACCATCCCTGACCAAACACCTCCCGCCCTCATGACCCTAACCAAACAAGAGGATCTAATCAGGATTTCAGGTCTGCAGAGTTATTTTTCTGTTGGGTGGGAAAATGAAATCTGCATCTTTTGTATAGAAATATGATCATTTCTACATGAGGCATACCAAACCAACTATGGAGCAATGTACAAATATCCAGCATTTTATAGAAGAATAACATTTATGTGGCTTTACTCAAAAGTTAGCCTATCCTGCCCCTATTTTTTCAAACTTTTTGTGGACATTTTCATAAATAACATTGGATATAATATGCTAGGTCTGGGGGACTTGACAAAAACAATATATTTTTTCTCTATATTGATCAATGCAAAATGTTGTATTATATTAAATTATTATTCAAATGTTTTCCAATCTCCTGAGCATGAACAGTACAGGGTTTAAATCACATTTAATGCAAAAAATACTAAAATTTCTTCTTTTCAACTCTGCTCCAAACTACTTGCTTTTAGTGACAGAGGATTGGCTTTAGATCTCTCTTTTAAAATACCCAAGCTTATCATGATGATTAGAAATGAATAGAGGTGGGACTAGACAAGGCACAAGATTGTGTCCACAAGAATGAGACAAGCTGAGATTTTGAAAGATTTGTAATTAATAAATTGTCTAATCCAGTTCACAATTTTGGTCTAACAATTTTTAAATGTCATTATAGTGTTGTATTTTGGAACTACAGCTCTCAAGGAGGTGTAAGTCACTAGCACGTAACTTTTTTTGTCCAGTCTAAAGGTAAACACTTGGAAAAACGTGTGCACAATCTCGTCGCAATTTTGTCTCGCAAGATCTTATGGCACAAGATTTAGTCCCATCCTTAGAAATGACTGAATCTTGATTAAAATTCAGATAATTGCACCACTTTATAATAAACATGACCAATTTTGTAGTTCTTTTTCTCTAACGGAATGCCCTTTCGATAACAATTCAAAGAGAATACACTCAAGCTTCACTCATCAAAGTCAGCCACACAAATCTATGATCTTACTGTACACAGTGGAGAGAGATAGCCCCGCGGCCTCTTTAGGACCCCAGTAAATTGTGTTTTAATCTGCTTCATCTGTCCCTTCTGAAGCATCCAACATGCCATATAATGAAACGTCTTATCACCAACGGTTTGATGTGAGTCTCTGTATATGTAGGGCCTGAGTAAAATGGGTGATACCAACAGCCTGTCTGCTCATTGCTGATAATATACCCAGTAAAAATCCAACATAAACTGCAGCTGTGGCATTTGAGCTGGCCCATTAGGGAGATGTGTGTGTGTAATTTGGTGGGTGGGGTGACATCACGACAGCCTAGTAAAGTAGTTAATACACAAGGGGTTTCTCGAGAGTCTACTCTGCAGCTGGACACGAGGTCATAAGGAAGCGATCTACACATGTGCAGAACTCAGCAAAGAAAAATACATATTTTATGTATAAGAAGTGGTGCCAGTACAGATATGTTGTATAAGCGGCTCATGAGGTCAAAATAAGGTCACTTGTGCTGTTTGCGTTTTATTGCCCGTTAATCTGGAAGTGTGTGGTTTGCATGCTAGTTGTTGTTAACATTATTGTGACAGGAAAACGCCGCTCTGGCTTTTGAAAGTAGTGAAAAGTGTAATTAGTCTGCTAGAAATGCATAAGGTAAATGAGGAATAGCTTTGGACTACTACAGATTGTTTAAAGTGAACTTGTTTTTCACGTTTTTTAAGATGGTGTGAATTAGGTACTTTTTTTCTATTGGCGGACTAAATAATGGACAATGTGCTATGATGCATACTGATGAGATTGCTCTGTTTAGAATACGCTGGCTTCATATTACTGGAGAAGACTACTTAAGAATGTTACACAACTTTCATTGTTAGAGGCTTATCCACCAAGAAAGGTGTATAGTAGTTGCTAGGGTAACTTTAAAAACATTAAAATTGACAGTAATCTTTTCTTTGTTAGTAAAAATGCATTGATTTGATTGTTAATATTAGAAAATTTTAGACAAAAAGCAAGTAAGATCCTGTAAGGCGCACAGTGTATCTTTTCTAGTGGGAACGGTGCATTATTTGGAATGTTCAACAGCATGGCATTAAACAGCTCTGTTTTTGATTTATTCAATTACAGGTGTATTATTTGCTAAAAAAATATCCCACCTGTAATGTAACCTGCTTGACTTCATAGAGCTGTGTACTTTAATGCCATACAGTGGTCCATTCCATGTAAAAGCAGAAACATCTTCTTGGAGAGAAGCATATGGCAGGTATAAAACACAATTTCTGCAGACAAAAATGAAAAAGTTCTTATACCATTGACAGAACATATTTTATTTTTAAAGTTCAATCAATCCAGAAGCTCAAAGGTCTTCTTAGAAATCCTCCACGGTATTTGCATTTGCACGTGGTATTCATTGCTTTTGTACAAATAACTCCAAATGTCATGTTGATAGTAGGAGCAGCGGGAGTACAGCTCCGTGACAGGTGCATGTGCAGAGGTGTGCGCCTGTCTGCCCCTGTCCTGGCCCTGACCCTTTCACTTTACTTCTGACAAGGTCGCTTTGGCAAGAATCACACTGCTATCCCCCAATGCTATGCTAACGGAATCAGAATTGACTCTCATACTCCACTCTCTCCCCCAGCTGACAGGCCATTTCTCTGCACACATAAACTAGGATGTGACGGCACCAGGAAGTGATGACTGTGCTGTTTTGTGCATGTTTGGATTGCATAGGCCTATGCACATGACTGGGCTTAGGCTGGCTCGGACATCGGATCCCTCAAAGGCGGAGGAGAGTGGCAACAACAATGAAATGTTGCTGTCAAAACCTACAATGGAGTCTGTTGCTCTATAGACCTGTAATGTGGAAATATTGATGACGGCTAGTGCTTATGCAATAACAATAAAAGCTACTTCAAAACAGGCAGGAGATGGGTCTAATCATATCCACAGACAATGCCTGCTAATTTGGACTGTTTAGTGGAGTATATCAAATTATCTTCATAATGTTTTTGTTTTTTTGTCACAATAAAGATATCAGACTTGATACAGATAATAAGGAAGCATGTATTCGATTCCAGGTGTTTTACTGTTCAAAAGTACCTTAAAAACATGCTTTCTTACTGTGACTGCTGTGAGATAGTTTAATGCAGTACTGCAGAACATGAGTCTGGGCACAATTGACAAAC